CTCTAGAGGATCCCCGTGTGTGTATGTGTGTGTATGTGTGTGTATATGTGTGTATGTGTGTGTATATGTGTGTATATGTGTGTATGTGTGTATTATTACGGTAGGGTAAGTCAACTTACCTTGAGTAGCATGCCGGACGGCTCGAAGGCAACAGAGGATAACGAAGTTCGATTTCCGTCCGGGTACATGCCATCCCTGTAATTCATCACATGCATTCATGCATGGCTGGTCAAGAGGTACATATATAGCAAGCAAGAGCATGACGTTGGGTCCGAGTCGGCGATATGCTGTAGTATCCTGTAGGGCGTGCATCAGCACGGGATCTGCATCCGCCGATCGGTGGTACTTTTCTGAAAACGTCGTGGTATAACATATGCACAAGCCGGTGTGTCATTGATGGCGTAGTTGAATGCTTGTATAGAGAAATGTGTGTAGCATATGATGCCGTGTGCGACCCTAATGTCTAAACTGCTGTTGTGCTACACATGGATATTTACTCTAGCAATTCGCTCTGCAGCTGGAACTTTAAAGTTTGCCATTTGTCATCTTACTCTTCCCTCTTAACCTGCTTTTGGCATTCTTACACGTCATCATCGTCGTCGTCGTTGAGGCATTCAGCCTACGTATCTCCGCTCCCTAATCGATAGTCTTCACTGTTACACGAACTGTGGTGATCACCATCATGATGAGATACAAAAAAACAAAGTAAGGCCCCAGCCTTACATGCTTACCTGAAGTACTGCTGCATAAGAGCCAAGTGCCCCGCGACCTTTTCATTTGTCCATACGTGTAGACATCATCAATGCCGGCCGGGCACAGAACATGCAGCAACAGCAGAAGCAACAGCAGAAGCAACAGCAGAAGCCATACATATGCAGGAATAATGTTTCACCTGGACGCGACAGGAGAAAGGCGACTAGAGCTTGAAAGTTAGGTTCTGATTTTAACGATAGCCTGTCGGGTTGTAAGTTAGTTGGTTGGTCCCGATGACACCGATCACCAGGACACTGTCCAGCGTCATGCAGACAGTGCTGATAACCCACCAGCCGTGTGTTTAGGTGTCCAGCCCAGTGGCGATAACAGCCGCTGGGAGGTCGGTTTGGGCGCCGCTGGCGCGCCATTGTTTTCCCGTACATGGGAGTGTCTGAAGCGCCGTAACCAGGCGGCGTTAGCGTTTTCGTGCCGGGTGCAAATTGCGTGTATGGCCGGCATGTGGGTCGCGCCAGATGACTGCGCCTTTCGAGCGCGTGACTACGCCTTCGCGCGCTTTTGCCGCGGCCGTTGCGCGACCGCTTGTCCTTTGTTTTTGTTGTTCCCAGAGCGTCAGTGCGCTCCCCTGCAGCTTAAGTCCCAATCCCCCTGTTGCTTACCATGGGCGTCGCCATCGACGTTCCTGATAAATACGTATTGCCGTTAGAGCAGGTGCTGCCTGCATGAAGTAAGATACGTAAGCAAGAGGGCAATAATTATTGATAATTAGTATGCGGGTCGGCGGTCTTTAATCTGTCTTAACACACAACATGACCGTAAGTAATCGATTACTTTACGATTACGCCGATATCGGCGGGGCGGTCAGGTGCAATTATCCGGTACGCCGGATTAGGCCGGATTCAAGGGTTTTAGCCAAAATTGCGTCCACGTCGCCAGTAAAAGCATCCTATGGTTCATAGACAGAGACATCATAAAACAGATAGGACCAAGAAATAGGTCATATTCATTGTGTAGCATGGTGTATTGACCGTGCCATGCATGGTATTTAGTAGATAGAAGGCATCATCACGACTTTAGAAAAGTACCGATCGGCGGATGCAGATCCCTTGATAAGCACAGGATACTACAGATATGCCTGAAAAAATAGATGGTCTATAGATAGTGATGACTCTGCAAAGGTGTAGCGGGCCCAAACGATCCGTGTCGCGAGGCCAACAACAGATTAAACGGATAAAATACAATTTGCTGAGAGTGAGGCCTTCGTGGTGGTTTTCCATTTGCGAGTTGCCTGGCGGCTGCTAGGATTCCTGATGGCTCCATTTCCTTGTACAGCATATGGTCGAAGCTGTGTCAATGCATGCACGAATACCTGAGTAATAAGTATATATCAATGGATGCGATGTGCAGCGGGCGGCGGTGCACAGCCAGGACAGGAAAAACATATCCCTGGCCCCCCTCATAGTAATTAACAATTAATTATTTAGCACATGCAAGAAACCCCTACTTACTATTGATGCCCGGCAAAATCGTTCCTGTTGACAATGCCGATAGTACGGGGTCTCCTGGCGCCACTATGTCGGGCTTGATGCGGCCGTCCGCCAAAGGACCACGTGACGAAAACGCGGCAATGCTGTCCACGCCCACATTGAGTTGCCGCTGCATGGGCCACACACATGCACACATGCACATCGATGCAGCATTTAGACATGCAGGACTCAAGTTTGACGTAATATTAACGACCGCAAACCAGCTGAGGGGTCCACAGATGATGTCCAAGTGGCCCAGAATTCGAAGCCTCCCACTGTAACAACAACAAAAGATGATGCCTTGTTGATCGTATACAGATTTATGGTATAGATCTATACCACTCTAGAGTGGTCTATAGATCGTGCCATGGTCTTGCATCGATGCATCTCGTCACGCACGCCGGGAGAAAATGAATCCGTGCATAGCCAAAATGTTCAGTGCCTACTATTGTAATTATTATACTTACATTGTCAAATGCTTGAAGATGAACGTTCAGGTTTCTTGGGTCATTAAGAACTGCCTTAATGTACTCCCCATGTGCCTGGACAACAAACAAAGAAAATAAATACAAAGTCACATCCTGTGTAAGATGTACTTCGGTGATGCCAAGCACGCCTGGATATTTTTTGCTCGCGCCTAAATATTGCACCAGTAGAAAGAGACGGTCCCTAATGTAAACAAAATACCTGGACATGCGCACTACCTAAAGACAATCAGAATTTTCTACAGACGGAAATAAACATGCATCATCACAATTTAAATCGGCATGCCGTGGCTTGCCATGGTTACATTTTTCTTGTCTTGGCAAGCATCCTTTATTATTTTTTTTTCATTTTTTCATCATTTATTATATAAATATGTGTTGGTTGGTGATCACCGCGAGACCATGTATGTAACGCACGAATGAAAGATCGGATGAACCCATGTTCATGCATGCTGAAACAAACACACGAGCGAATGTGTGCACGTGCGTGGAAGCTCGCCGTCAGACGACCTATCGGTTACATTCGCTCACCTACTTCCAGCGCTGGAAGTAGCTAGCTAAATCCCGCGTTTAAATTTGACGCACCTTAGTCACCAGGGCGAACATGATTACGTTGATGAGTTCGTTGGAACCTGTGAGAGCCTCGCTTGCGAACGACCCATCTGGTCGAATGTAGATAGCAGCCCGTGCTGTGGAGTTTTTGACGTTAGCGGCTCGTACTCCTGGGGCACATTGCGACATGCCCATGTCCACCACCACCACCTTGCCCGTGTAATTACCACCCACAAGGGGGCTACATGCACCCAGTGGGTCCGCAAGCATGACAGTAACGGCCGCCTGCATGCATTTGCAATAGCATCATGCGGGTACTCACGCTAGTACCTTGGTGCGTGCTGAACAGATCTGTTCAGCAAACATGTTTGGGTTTTAGAACCCAAACGGCCATGCGATAACTTTTTAAAATTCTCTGATCGCCTATAGCTATAGGCCACACATGATATGTGGGACAATCCCTATCTTCTATACGAGGGTGTGGCCTATAGCTATTAATATTGGTAATCAAAGAATTTACAGAAAGGCTTTGGAAGCAGAGCATTCAGGTGCCGTGCGGTTGGTGGACCCTCGTGCAAGTTGCTGGCTTCAATTTTTACACTGGGACGAAGCCCGCATTCGTCTATATTTTGGGGGTCATTCTATATGCGACATATTCCGGATTTTTTCCGAATGGTATTACTAGGTCATCAGGCTGAACTTACTAAGGCCTGACCTTACTAAGCCTAAGTTAGGCGAGTTGCGATTGAGTGGCCAGGGATATTATATCACGACTTCAGGAAAGAACCGATCGGCGAATTCGCATCGGCATTCGAATGCAGATCCCGTGATATCCCCTGACATATATGCCCTACAGACTACAACATGGGGTGTCTGAGAGCGCGCTGAGGGCATCCATCCATACATGTACGCCGCCATGAACGCCCCATATATACAAAACGCTTGGTATATACCAAGCATGTATACATAGACGTCATAAATTGCGGCATTTTGGGGTTTCCGAAAGTGTACGACGGAATCACGAGGCAGGTTAAATTAAACAAACTTTGAAAGTGTTTCACCGCTAGCACATTTTCGGGCCGAACACTCTAATACACGTACGAGTAGCCCTACAAACACGGAGGGGGGTTAAGAACGTTCTTAACTCGTTCTTAGCCCAGCCAAATTGATAAAATTGAATAACCATTAGAACGTTCTTACACCGTTCTAAGAACGTTCTAAGAACGTTCGTAAGGCATCCGTTTATCTTAAAACCATTCTTTGAAATTCTTTAGCATTCTTTGGGGCCCAGCAGTCTTAGGTATTCTCTTCCATTCTTTGGGGTGTTCTTATTCGTTCTTAGACCAACTTAGTGTTAAAGCATACTTAGCTGCTCTTTGGCCGGTTTTAACCATTCTTATCATAGGGTTGCTAAGTATGGCACTCGTTCTTAAGTCTCATTCTTAAGAAATAAAACCACTCTTTACCATTCTTTAGCATTCTTTAGGGCCAGCAGTCTTATGTATTCTTTTCGTTCTTTGGGGTGTTCTTATACATTCTTAGGCCAACTTATTCATTCTTTGCCTAAAGCATACTTAGCTGCTCTTTGGCCGGTTTTAACCGTTCTTACCATAGGTTCGCTAAGTATGGCACTCATTCTTAAGTCATATTCTCAGGAAATTCTTTTTGCTGCTTACATTCTTAAGCCTTAAAAAATGTGGGATTCTTAAGGGTCATGATGAAAATTCAAACACACG